AATATTTCATGACGATTAATTCAGGAAAAATTTAACCCATTAATTTGAAAGTAGGCTATAGCAATCCCTTAACAATATTTCTCAAATTGGATTACATTTCTATCAAATACATAAAACATTAGATAAAAACTTCTATACAGCACATTTTGTATTAAATTAAATCATTCAAAAGTCGATAATGAATAAACTATTAAAACATGTAAAATTTTATTTCATAATAACAATTAAAACCCCAGCTGGATAAACATATGAGAAGGTAAAGCCCGACATAACACTTATACTGATTAAAAGTAGTTTAAACTAAAATACAAAACTATGAGATCATATGAAAATATATATGACCTATAAAGCACAAAGTAAAGTTATCAGAGAGATCACATGGGATTAAATAAGGATATGTGACCTTATTTTAAAGGTAAAATTTATATTTCAGAAGTTTACTAAAACATCTTCCTTTGTATGTTTTGTGATTTATAAAACTTCCATATTTCATAATATTATTAAGTAGTTATATTTAAAAAAATCATTCACTGTTTATTATGGGACTTTAAAAAATATTATAAATATATTAATGTTCTGTAACATAAGCAATATAAAAATATTAGAGAAATAAAAAAGATAACAGATATATTATGATATATGATAAAAGAAATATTATGATAAAAGAAATTCAAAAATATACCAATATTTCTATTACATAAATGCTAAAAAAAAATCAACAAACATTTTATGCATTGCAAAAAAATTATATATGTAAATTTACAATGTGTAATTAAAAATGTCATAAAATGTATCATACATACGAGGGCCATCCAGGAAGTAGATTACGTTTCCGTCTGTGTCCGCTAGGGGCGGGGCTAGCGCGGCCATCTTGGGGTCAGAGCGTTGCGCAGCTCAGTCTGCATCTAGCCGTGCTAGTGAGAGGTTCGTGCTGTGCTCCGTTCAGATACTGTGACGGTTTGAAATGTCCTGCGTTAATTGAAAATCCGCGAGCGCGAGTGCGCTGAGTAATAAGGTTTCTGACTGCAAAAAAACTGTAAAACCGATAGAAATCTATCGGCAGCTTCGTGAAGTGTATGGGGACAACATTATCACTGAAGGTGGAGTGCGTCAGTGGGTATAAGATTTCAAAATGGCCGAACCAATGTTCACGACGAAGATCGAAGTGGGAGACCCAGCATAGTGACCGCCGAACTTCTCGAAAAAGTCGATGCTAAAGTCCGTGAAAATCGAAATCGTACAGTCCCGACCTGGCAACGAGCGACTTCCACCTATTCCCAGCAATGAAGAAGTGGCTGGCTATGCAGCGTTTTGATGACGACGCACAGCTGCAAGAAGAGGTAACGAAGTGGTTGAAGGCGCAGGCGGCCGAATTTTTCGACGAAGGAATTTCCAAGCTCGTACATCGCTACGATAAATGCCTTAATTTGTATGGTGACTATGTAGAAAAGTAGTATTTGAGTGTGGCTTTCATCTGTATATAATAAAATTTGTTTCCTATACTTTGTTTATTTTTTTATTCCAAAACGTAATCTACTTTCTGGATAGCCCTCGTATAAGACCCTTAGCAAGCATTTCTAATTAAAAGTATGTATGATATCTTATTTATTTTGCAGTTATAGCTACATAATTTGAAAGATAAAAGCAATGATTAATCAACTCAACTTCACTTTAGCAGAGAAAGTACAATTTATCTAATATTTAAAACAGTTATGCACACAACAATTATTAATTTTAAACAATTTTACAAAATATTAATGCAAGTGCATGTAAATTAAATAGAAAACTATTTAATTCAAAGTAACCTTGTGTGTTAATATTTCTTAAATAAATTTCATACATTTTTTGTACAATTACAATTTGAGCCCTAGTTATGCACTGCACATATTTGATTCATAATGTATCAAAATTTCCCTTTATTAATCATCAAAGCACAGTTCTGTAAGATAATGCTAGTGACAAAACTGTTTTCTGCAACTTCCTTTTTTTTTTTTTTTTTTTTTTTTTTAGCTAGAAGTTTATTTTGCTATGAATTTCAGTTATATTTTAAGCTACATATAACAGACATATGTTAAAGTATATTCATAGTCCCTTTAAGACTTGGGTGAAGGGGATAATGAAAAAGGAAGAAGGGGGGAAAAAGAGGAATATTTTTAAAGGTCAATTATTTAGGTTAAAGAAATCATCTTTAATTACTTAGAACTTCTATCGTTTTTATGGTTGAATACTTTGAACCTACATCAGGAAAGTAATCAATGTAACACAATCGGAAGATATACATACTCTAACGAAAAAAAACATAAATAAATAAAATAAAAATTTGTCTAATAATTTATTTAACCCTTTCTTGGTAGTCATCGGAACTCATACGTTCAGCGTTTTTGTGCCCGTAAGGTTGGCGCCACATGCCATGAGATGAAGTGAAAAATTCGATCCTTGAGACTGAATTCATCACTACTCATACGTCACTTTAAATTCCGTGATTATTTTTGTATTTTTTAATATTGCTAAGAGATAATGCAACTAGTCCTAGTTTCTTCACAATTTTTGCTGTGAGATTTCTTGCCTTGATTATCTGTTATTGAGTATTCGCGTGATATCTGTTAGAATTTAAACTAAAAAAAAACATTTGAAACATTTTGGATATTTATAGCCAATTTTTTGGATAAAGTAAGCCCCCCAGCAAAAAAAAAAAAAAGATTTTTTTTTTTTTTTTTTTTTTTTGATTAAATAAATGATTTTGGCTTTGTGATAAATGTGGATTTTTTTTTGCTCCGATGTCCAAGGCAGGTTGTAAAGCTGTTTTAACGGTATGGCTGGAAATCCATTTTCTAAAGCATTTTTATGCAATTTTAATAATTATTTTGATGTACATATTTATATTAAACACATCAAAACAATAAAGTTAATAAATATAGTATCACATTGTATTTTTTTTTCTTTAATTTAAAATTTGGGTACATTGCAGAGAAACTGGAGATCAGTGGATTGGATATCACATATTTGATCACTCGTAGGTCCATCGAAAGCTGCTTACTGTCAAAAATATTTTGCATTTTTGAATTTAGGATAGAACATATATTAATTTTTAGCAATAAGAAAAATTTTTTTTGGGGGTCAGAAATTTGAAAAAAAAAAAAAATCTTACCAAGAAAGGATTAAAATATCTAATTTTATTTAAGTCCTTTTTTAGGTTAGGCACTGAAAACAATTTTTCTTAGATTCTTTTAATAAACTGAAAACAAAACACATTCCTAGTTATAGAAAATTTGGATTTTTCAAGAAATCTGATGTTCGCTCTCCTCTAATTTTATGTTTTTAGAGTTTGTTGCAACTTTCCGAGCACAAATTTCACTGGGATGCCTCGTTCTAGAGAATTTTTGTCTTTTGCAGATAGTGAAACATCTGAAATTGGCATGTATAAAACATAATGTTGCATTATTAGCAGTCTGCACCATTTGTTTCATTCATTCCTGTTTTTTTTTTTTTTTCTTTAGAGAGGCAAAGGACAAATTGATATATAAAAATGAAAGTCAATGATTAACTAATATGGTTGATCTTTACAATATGGTAACTGGTAGTTTGGCGATATTTTGGAGGCGATAAAGGTTACTACCTGGGACTTTGGTAATAATGTGAGCAGTACTCAGTTCCAATTACGCATTATTTTGTGTGAGCGAAATGAGAGATCATGGGATATGTCATGTGATATTAATGGACGAATTACGGTTCTTTAATCGGAAAAGGGGGGAAATCGGGAAAAAATCTGGAAATTTTGTATTTGGCTTTATTCTGTGCTGTGTGAAACAGTGTTCGTGAATTTCTGGATCCCATGGCCGTAACTAAAGTGAATTCGAAATGGGTATTTATATATGTATTAATTTAATGTATGTGCTCATTTATATTTTAAGTAGTGTTTTTGAATTTAATTATATTTTAATTAAATGATAGTTATTTTGTGAATTTTATGTTTGTAGGAATTTGGTATACGTTTTAGTTGAAGTAAACGTGCATGGAAATAATTTAAATATCTGACACTAAGTATTTGTAATGGTTGCGGTATGAATTCGTTGGTGATGTGTATATGTAATAGATGATTTAGAGGTAAAAGTTTTTTGGATATTTTATTTATTTTATATGTGGAAATGTTCATATTTGGAAGGGTAAATACTTTTTCGCGATCAGGTAATTTCATATATGTTCTTTTTACCGGGTTTAAAGATTGAGAAAATTGTCATGTATTTTCGTGAAATTTTTCTAATTTATGAGAAAAAAGCAGTGTATATGGATATAGTGAAGAGTGTGCGCAATGCCATTTTTGTGCAATTCTGGGATGTTTTTTTAAGTAAAAATAAGTCGGCGTGTACATGGTTTAGTGATATTTTAATTAAATGATAATTATTTTGTGAATTTTATGTTTGTAGGAATTTGGTATACGTTTAAGTTGAAGTAAACATGCATGGAAATAATTTAAATATTTGATACTAAGTATTTGTAATGCTTGCGGTACGAATTCGTTGGTGACGTGTATAATGTAATAGATGATTTAGAGGTAAAGTTTTTGGATATTTTATTTATTTTATATGTGGAAATGTTCATATTTGGAAAGGGTAAATACTTTTTCGCGATCAGGTAATTTCATATATGTTCTTTTTACCGGGTTTAAAGATTGAGAAAATTGTCATGTATTTTCGTGAAATTTTTCTAATTTATGAGAAAAAAGCAGTGTACATGGATATAGTGAAGAGTGTGAGCAATGCCATTTTTGTGCAATTCTGGGATGTTTTTTTAAGTAAAAATAAGTCGGCGTGTACATGGTTTATGTGTATGTGTTATTTTGAAAAACGCGTAAGGAGTATGGTATTGTGCACTTTTTCCCAATTTTGCAGTGAATATTTGTCATGATTAAGCAGTTTTGTTAGGTAAAATTTCTAGCATAAGTGTAATTCAGCTAGTAGATCGTTGGAAGAAGTGTTCAGTAGATAAAAAGAAAAGAAACATGTCTTTACTTCGTGAAGACAAAATGGCGGCGGGAACAAAAAAAAAAAGGGTTGCTGTAGGAGAGTTGGTCGCCAAATTTTCGCCAAAAAAACGCCAAGTTACCATAATGTAAAGATCAACCACTAATATTTCAACACACAGTTTCTGGAAGATGAATGAAAATTTTAAAGATTCTAAACCCAAATTTTAATTGTTTAGAAGCCTCTAAATTTCTTATTAACATGAAATAATCTTCTTCACAACATGTCATGAGGAATGGTTATCTATAAAACAATAAGGGGAACTACTATTTTAATTAAATAGACTATTTCAATTTGTAACAATACTGCTGTATATTATTATTGCATATTATGATGTATTTAAAATTTAAATAAACTTTAATCCAAACTAAAAGATTTAAGATTTGTTATATGAATTTTTCCCAATCTTACAAATTATAATTTAAAAAAATACACCCTTTCTAAAAATACATTTTTCATCAAGAATGCTAATTTTTATTTAAAATGAATCGAATACACACTTGCACATATTTCGAACAATGATGCAAAAGAAAAATATTTTTCATTTTCCCTCTTTCCTAAAAACAGTATGTATTTTATAAGGTGAGAAAAGAGATAAATCACATATTAATCATTTAATATAAGAAAAAATAAATAAAAAAAGACATGTCATAAAAACAATTATACAACCAACCAAATTCAATTATAAGTGTGACTACACCATATACTTAAACAAAGATCAATTAAAATATTTCAAACATCATTAGCAGTTGCATGACCTCTCTTGTGGTTTTTCCCAGACTTGGCAATTGTGACATATTTTAGAAGCTCTTCAACGATTCTCAAAGCAGATGTTAAACAGCCATTAAAATTAGATTCTGTAAAACCATCACCCCCACAAATAAGACATGGATGGTCACTTAAGATGATGCAGCCAGGATTATCTAGGTAAGCATCAACAACCTGAAATAAAAATTTATATACATGTGAATAAAGATATGGATTAAGAATGAACATAGCATATAGATAAAAATGATATGAAGATCAACACCCATAATAAAAAACACCTAAGAAATGAGAAATTACGAAAATCATGGAAAAAGTCTCCGATTGAGTATAATCATGCAATACATTTCCATAAGCTATCGCTTCTCAATATACAGCCCATTTACACTGAAACAAGCAAAAACTTTAGACTTTCCTTCTGACTTTTAGATGATCCTAATCATACTATTTATTAGATGTTATTTACTATATGTATCTACAAATGCTTTACTAGCTTAAATACAGTACTGCTGCTTGTTTAAGGAGTTTACCTGCATTATAAGCAATGGTACAAGTTTATAATGTTTTTTGAACAAATAAAATATACTACACAAGACAAAAGAAAACTAAGGACTTACAAAGCTCAGTATTAATTAATGCCTAGCAGAAAATGAAATTTAGAAAACAGCTAAATTATACTAGTGAGTATAGTTAATATTATCTACAATAAATTAAAATATATTCTGTAAATGAAACTACTGAATTCATATGATGCTTTACATCTTCCAGTCATTATTACAAATTAATTACTTGTGAATATGTCCACTTGATACATTTAATAAAAGAAGGCTCTGGTAAATCTGGTACAAGGCACTTAAAATGAGTAAGAATTTCTTTCTGGGCTTCATCATCACCAAGATCACATTTTTTCTGACAGTATTTAGTAGTAGTGTGTATCAAAACAGCAGGAGGATCTTTAGGTTTCCCTGGAAGAAGAAAAATGGATAAAGTAAATTATGCAAAGCCAACAGCCTGAAAATGAAAAACATTTATTTCAGAGCAAATTACACTACAATTTAAAATTATTTTGTGCACACATAACATAAAATAGCCACTTAATAAGAGAACTATAATAATTCTTGGTCAGAGAGTAAATTCCATTTTTAATGATACTTTTCCATATTTTTGAGTTTTTCATTTTTACAATGATATAATTCCTTACTATAACTCAAGTTTTAAAGTTAGCAAAATTAAAATTGAAGTTGAAATTTATTTCATTTCCTCTAATTTTTTAACATTTGTAATTTGTATTATTTAACAGGTTTAGAAATTATTATTATTATTTTTTTTTTTTTTTTGAACAAGCTCTTTTTTTATCCCCCATATTAAATGCTTCTTAACAAAATATGCATTGATCTTTTATTTTCTGACTGAATACCGAATCAAAGCTACGTACATAACCTGCAGTTTCCTCCATATTCAACATACAAGAGCGCAGAGTATATTAATTTTATCTGCTACTGGATGGATACCTGCACATATCATTTACTTACGGATATATTACCAACTATAGGATAAAAATACGATGAACAGGAATTCACAAAGACTCAAGCTATTTGTTAACTCACTTAGAATTATTAGCTAGTTACCATTTATATTTAGAATTCTTGGTTCCAAATCATAATCTAGCATTTGACCTTTTTAGTAGAAAACTTAGAATGTATGCTATAAAAAAAAATTAAGCACCAAGAAAGGCAGTTCCAACAGCCTTTCTTGGTGCTTAATTTTTTTTTCAACTGGTATTTTTATTAACAATATAGAGAAATAAGCAGATCTTAAACACACAGTGATCCAATACATGACATAGAAGAAATCATATGCCAGTAGAACATAGGACAGTATGGCATCACTTGACATATGCCTAGATAAAAACTGAGATCTGACATGCATTACAATATATACAGTATTTACTCAAAAATAAGGCACTCGTTTTTACTATAATTTAGTTTTAAAATTTGGTAAGATCTTATAAATGACATATGATAAATGAAATTGTAGAATGAGAGAAGGAAGTTTAATTATCATATTATATAGAATAATTACCCTGTTTAAATACTAAATAAACCACATAGGTAATTACTGTATGCATATACAGTGGATGGACAAAAATATGGAAACACCTTGTGAAATGCATTTTTGAAAAGAAAGACTGATTTTAATGAAATATGTAGGTGGCACTAGTGCTTTTGACTACTGACGCCACCTATACAACTTCGTAAATGTGCTAAACAGTTCAGTTGTTGTCGGAGTACTGTTATGTTAGGTTGTCGTTGCATTATGTCAGAGTTAACAGACTTCGAACGTGGGCAAATTGTTGGAGCACGTATGGTAGGTGCTTCCGTAAGCAAGGTAGCCGAGGTGTTTAGTGTTTCAAGAGGTACTGTATCGAAGATTTTATTCCGCATATTTGAAAAGAAGCGAAAAACATCATCTGCTAAATCACAGCGCAGACGAAAGTGTGTCCTGAGTGATCGTGACAGACGATCATTCAAGGGCAATTGTGACGAAAAATAAGAAGACCACAGCTGCAAAAAGTTACTGCTGAAATGAATGTTGTGTTACTGAACCCTGTGAGTACCAAAACAATTAGAAGGGAGCTTCATAAACAGGGAATTGCTGGCCGTGCTGCAATTGAGAAGCCACTCATCAGTGATGCTAATGCCTGTAACAGGAAAAGGTGGTGTTTAAGTCATAAAGCCTGGACTATAGAGCAGTGGGAAGCGAGTAATATGGTCTGACGAGTCTTCTTTCACATTGTTTCCCACTTCTGGCCGAGTTTACGTCTGGAGAGAACGCCATCTCAAGCCTATAATACAGACTGCTTGTTGCCAAGAGTGAAACATGGCGGGGGTTCTGTTATGGTTTGGGCAGCCATATCGTGGTTCTCTGCTAGCAGCCCCATGATAACTGTGTGTGTCAGGGCACATGACTGCCAAGACTTATGTGAACATTTTGGCCGATCAAGTTCATCCCATGGTACAAACTTTGTTCCCCGATGGTGATGGTGTCTTCCAAGACGACAAAGCCCCTGTTCACACAGCTCACATTGTCCAGGACTGGTTTTCTGAGCACGAGGATGAGTTGTCCCATCTCCCCTGGCCACCACAGTCACCAGACCTGAATATTATCGAACCTTTGTGGTCTACATTGGAACGGAAAGTGCGTTCTCGTTATCCACCGCCAACATCGTTATCTGAACTTGCCACCGTTTTGCAGGAAGAATGGTATAATATTCCCTTGGCAAACATACAGGAACTGTATTTATCCATTCCGAGAAGACTGCAAGCTGTTTTGGATGCCAACGGGTTTCCTACACCATATTAAGCAAAGAAACATGTTTTTTAAAGGTGTTTCCATATTTTTGTCCAATCCCTGTATGTAAGAAACTTAATATGAGGCTGAAAATTAAAAAAACAAACATTTTATACTTGTCCTGCGCTATAGTTGCAGGATTGATGTATAATAAACTTAAAGCATTTAAATTTAAAAGTAAATTGGAGTCAAAGCATGGCAATTTCTCAACAATATTAATAATTGCAACCATGCATAAGAGGTAATTGGGTACCAACCAATTTTTGAGGGTTCTTTAAATGACAATTTGGTCTAAAGTTTATTTGTATTTGCTTTTGAATTTTGGATTCACATATAATGATTTTAGACCAATTTGATTTTTATGAATGGTCATTTTACATAATGTAAAGTTTTAAAGTATTTTGAGTAGTCAATTTGACACAACATTGTGTTTTATTCTTTTTCCAAATGTTTCAAAGGCACGTATGGAAAATCCCGGTATATTTGAGATTCGATTTTTCTGTTTTATATGAATTTTCATGTCTTAAATGAAAATTTAATTGATTCTTTTTTTGGTTTTTGATCTCAAATGAACCAGGAGAATGAAACACGTTTAGGCGACATGTTAATCAACTTTTATGAAACTTTAGTTCATTTTCCCCTGATGAATTCTGAATTAGAATTTCAGTAAAAGGAGATTAATTTTTAAATTGTATTATCTTATATATTTTTCCCTTTTGCACTCTTTTTATTTAGCGAATTTGTACTACTATGTATTCTTATTTTAATTTTCATTTGTTTAGATCTTGTGTTAAAACTTTTACACACGGTTGCAATTACTAATATTGTTGAGGAATTGCTTTGACTCCAATTTACTTTTAACTTTAAATGCTTTAAGTCTCTCTGTCTCTCTCTCTCTCTATATATATATACATACTGCATAATTACCATTAACCATTTAACTGTCATGCCCGAGATCACTGGTGTTCGAAAATGTCACGCCCGAGTATTACTCAGGGCAATTTTTTTTTTTTTTTTTTTGAGTGCATCATATTGTTATACCCGAATATATATTGGGAGACGTTTATTTCGGCTTCATCTCTTTGTCAAACCCGACTGTATCTCGGTAAAAGTTAATGTGCGCTCAATTTAATAGATGACAGCACTTTACTGAAGATTTCAATGATTAGAGGTTATAAGTTCTTTGGTTCAAAGTGCACGGGATCTTTTTGTTGTAAAATGGCGTCCAGTTCTTTGAAACATTAGTTATATAGATGATTTAGATTATTCAACCGAAGATGAAGGATGTGTGTTTGATGAGCAATATTCATGATACTTCCATGTTCAGCCTCAAAAATAAAAAAAAATGAAGATATACTCAAGCCGAAGATTGTTTCTGACTACAGTCTAACTATGGGTGGTGTAGATCGGTGTGATATCAGGAATATCCTTATCCTTTCATCCAACAATCTGAAACGTCAGAAAAAATATTATAAAAAGATATTTTACATTTACTAGACAAGGTACTCTGGAACTCATATTTGCTCTATAAAATGTAGTTGGGAAATGTATATAACATTAGTTATATAGATGATTTAGATTATTCAACCGAAGATGAAGGATGTGTGTTTGATGAGCAATATTCATGATACTTCCATGGTTCAGCCTCAAAAATAAGAAAAATGAAGATATACTCAAGCAAGTCGAAGATTATTTCTGACTACAGTCTACTATGGGTGGTGTAGATCGCTGTGATCAGGAAATATCCTTTTCATCCAACAATCTGAAAACGTCAAAAAAATATTATAAAAAATATTTTTTTTTACTAGACAAGGTACTCTGGAACTCATATTTGCTCTATAAAATGTAGTTGGGAAATGTATTACATTTTTAGAATTTTGAATCCAAGTTGTAGAAGAGCTTTACATAAATATGATGATGCAGCTTCTGGACAAAAGAATGCTGGCAGACCACCTACAATAGATATAACCCTGCCTGTCTTACTGAACAAACATTTATTTCCCATATTCCGCCTACTTACTCCTGCGAAATCTGAGCCTACAAAGACGTGCAAAATGTGTTGTTCGAAAAAGGATAAAATGGGAAAAAATAAGGAAGGAAAACACGGTTCTGGTGTAATGATTGTGGAGTTGTTTGTGCTTGGAAAAAAGTGTTTCCAGTTGTACCCACACAAGACTGAATTACTGAACTACTAATAGGTATTCACTTTTTATTTATTTATTTATTTTCATTTATTTATTTTTTAGAAAATAATTAATTTTTTTTCATTTTTTAGAAAATAATGCTCCACTAGAAAGCGAACTTTACAACTGCCATGTTGAGTGGCAGCCACCTCAAGCAAATATGCATGGCTACAAACTTTAAAAATTTTACCCATGTTACTTCAAAATATCAGTTTTTAATACTTAAGTATATTTTATTTACTAACATTTGATTTTTCCAATAAAAAAATTGACAATTTGTGTACCCAAATCATTAAAATAACTTGACAGTTAAAGGGTTAATTATAATAGCAATTATAATAGCTATGTCTAGTTGAGTAAAAAAATCCTTGGGTCACAGCTCAAAAAAAAAAAAAAAAAAAGAAAAAAAAAAAAAAAAAAAAAAAAAAAAA